CATATTTTATCAGGAGAAGAATGACTTCCTCCACTTAGTCAATTGAAAGCTAAGGTATGGGCCAATAATTAACAAATAGAAACATATTATTATGATGGAGTGTTACCAGGTTATGGGTTCGTTCACAGCACGACACCATAACCAACTAATCACTTGTAATTACTTACAACAACGAGATAGGCCTAAAAATCAGACTGGGGAAAACAATGACCAGAACGAAAACAGCAATCTCAGCAATGCTTATTAGATAGAGTACATAGCTTATATTTTAAAAACATCGGAAATTTAAGCCATATGTTGAAAAACCAAGACTGTCCTTTAAGTTAATCATGTCAACTCATGTTTAAATTACGATCTAACTGCCAACAAAGAAGTTTCCCCGTCCTAAGATATACTGTAATTGTAAAAGAACTGTATACTGGTAAATACTCACAACAATAAAATCACCATTTTCATTTCCCCTTCCCAACAAACTATTATCACTAACAATACCATTGAGGCGAAAGTGATCAAAGATTTTAAATTTTCAGTTAAAATTATTGATGTTAATCATTCATACCCGTTATCTTCACTGAGGTAAAGCACTTACTGAATTGTCAAACTGATCTCTATGTCCAGTGAAGAAAATAAGGTGGAGGGAATACTCTGTTTACAGAAGTATATACACCAATCATCTTCTGGTTATTTTCCGAAAAAATCTGCTTACTTATCAGCAGAATCGAACTGTGAATCCAGTTCACGACTCGTTTCCATAGATTTTCATACATTGAATCCTCATTAGTCATACAGGAGACTAGGGTTCAGTTCATGTCTAGTTTCCTAGCCCCGAAGAAGAGGAAGGGTCAGGCGTGAGTCCAGCAACTCCACACTTTAAAATTAGTCTTGCAGCCACTGAAATTTCACAGGCTGAAATATCATATTATATTTGGAATGTAAGGAATGTAGACATAAATAAGTGATAGGTGTTACCACTCAACATTAAATCCAATTTATTTCCTTATAATCGATAAGCTTTATGAATGATTCCACTTATGAAATGTAGTGTTAATACTAGCGGAAATACTTAACTGGAAACTGGAAATGGACCGTGTTACTCTGTACGCTAAACAACTATCACTGATCACATTAACCAGTAGACTATTCGAGAAAAAAAAATCAAATATTATTCTGATAAACAACGCCATCTAAATAATAGGTTTAAAGTGTTTCAATAGTTCATAACTTAAAGTGATAACAGACCAATAATTCTGACAATTCAGATATATTCTGATATGCAGGACGGTGTGCCAATGAAGCAAAAGCCAGAAACTCATCGAAACATTATGACGCCTTTTACAATCTGAATGCAAGTTAAAAATTCTCACAGTTTGTACACAGATAAGATACTGATCAGTAAAAGTCACTATCTAATAATGGAATTAATAAAAGGAGTGACAGGGGGACGTAGTGGGGGTAGGAAGGAAGAGGAGGGAAAACCGTTTATATTAATAAGTTCAGATGAATCAGTTTAAGATTTGAATAGGAAACGTTCAGATTTTGTACACAGTTGTTCTAGTCGAACATTAGAGAGAACTGGGAAAGTAAATTGCAGTAAATTAAGCGAAGTCGTGTTTGACACTGAATTATGAATCTTTACTCCATTTTCATAATATTACCATCTGAATTTTATTGGTTTGCTATGAACTTCCTTCAACTTGAACGCCGTATTTATATCTTTAACTTAATCTCTGACATTTTATTTTTTCATTTCTCTGAAGTATGTAATGATAACAACAGGTATATATGTAATTTGAATGTTTAATAAATTTCTTCTTCTGCTCTTCACAATCAAAATTGTCTATCATCCTCTATCTCTATCTTTAATACTTTCATTGATGGATGATAGTTTTACTGAGTCAGTGGCTCAGTGGTAGAATACTTACCAACTACTCACATAGTGTGGGGTTCAACCCACTGCCGACATACTTTTTAACCCCTCTTAGCCAGTATTAAACACAATAAAGAGAGGACGTTGGACATGAGGCTGGTAGTCCCACCTCATATAAAATAAACACCAATGTTACTGAGATTTCAAAGACCGAACTCGAAGTCTCATGTTCATTTCAGGACACAAGATTAAAGTTAAAGTTTTAATGACCAATAAGATGTACAAATTAATTTTATCTGTGAACAAACTGCGAATATTTCTAGCCTGTATTCATTTGACAGCAGACACCTTATGATGTGGTAAAATCATGTCGTTCTGCAAAATGTTTATTATTTTAATAAACTAAATTGTATAATGCAAATTAAAATACTTCCCGTTTGAAATTTCTACTATTTTGGAATTCATCTTTTGGATAGACACATCTCCTGGATTCCACAACTATCCACCATCAACTAAACAACATTGCATTGACCTGTACTAAACGCTGTTTCGTCACTAAATACTGGTTGACAATGATTAGCAGTGGAATCCAGAATGCCCATTTTACCCCATTTCTGACTCATCAACTGGATGTACCTGTCAGCCACAATTGAGTGGTGTTCCCCTTAAAAATTGAGCTCTGAACCCATCGTTCCAAATACAGAACAATTATTCACTAGGCAATGAAAGCCACCGTTTGTAGAATGTGTATCACTTACTAACTAGTTTTAAGGTTAATTTGCATCTCCCATTGATTCATTCCGTTGGACTGAGAGGCTCAGTATTTGCTGACATATTGGCTCCTAGTACGGATGCTTCAGCTATATCTTAGAATTAACATGAAATTATTTCCCGTTTATGGTGACTAGCAGTGGTATCGAGGATGTTCACTTCGTCCTATTTAGGATTGGTCAGACGAACGAACAAATAACATAATATAAATATAAGGAATATAAAAAAACTAACATAATTCCAACAATTAGAATTTCTCCGTTTATTTCATGAAATAAAATTATCAATCAAAGACGCTTAACAGTCATGCATATATTTTTTTTCGGGAATAATTTAAGAACTGAACGGTTCATATGAATTATGAATTAGACTTTATTATTATCAGTATTAATATTCAGGTTAGTATTAGTAGTATTGCATCATGCATTTTTATTTGAGTAACTGTACAAGTTAACAGTAGTAATATATTCGTGTAGACGTATATATATAGACATATTGACAACACGAATGATTCACACAAACTGATCTCTCATAAAAAGAAATTGTAAACAAATACATAAGTGATTTGGAATATTCATTATGTAATGTTTTCGTGTTTTTTCTAGAAGAAGGAGATATATATTTTGTCAACTTTCAGAATGAATGCTGAAAGTCTATCTGTATATCTGTCTATAAGCGTATGTATGTGTGTATATGTTTATTTATAATGCATGTGTATATTGTAGTCAACTGTTGAAGAACTAGCAACGTATACAATATAGCAACAGCAAGTAGCAGTAGAAGTAGCATTGGCAAAATGGAGAAGGAAAAACCGAAAATATGAAACCAATAAGAGTATACACAAAATTGTGATTATCATGACATTGATGATGAGAGGAAGACAAAGAAGAGGAGCAAGAAAGAAGAGTATGGAAAGTGAGATAAAGTTGCACAGATTTCTGTTATCATATCATATCAAATAGGCTGATATTAAATGGCATTGCTTAAAGAATACGAGTAAATTAATGCCAATTATCATCAACCAACACATCTATACAAATATCTATAATATATTAATATGGATAGACCAACAAATAGTCAAAAAATAAATGTATAAATTGTAGACAATATGGAATAAATGGCTAGACAGGCTAACACATAGATAGACAGACTAAAAAGATGAATGAGGAGAAAAGTTTAATAAATATTCCATAAGAGCATAGGCGAAACAGTCACTGCGTTATCCAGTTACTTCCCCAAGCAACTCGAAGAGGAGGCGATAGGATTCAAGATAAAAAATAATAAGTAGGCGTGTGTGTGTGTTTAAAATAAACAAGTCAACAAATATTTCTAGCTGATTTTTATCATTTCTAAAGTCAAAATATAAAAAAGCAAAAACAACATCAACAAGTGAGACAAAAAGAGATGCGGCAATGAGAGATTGTGTTTATATACTTGTGTGTGTATGTATTATTTTACAGAAAACAAGACAAAATACGTAAAAGAAAGTAGTTGAAGAGGCGAATAACTAACTGTTACTTAACTCAACAGTATTACTGTCAGTAATATCAGTAGTATTAAACAAAACATCATTATGATAAGTAGTGGTAATATTAACAGTATCATTATGGTTAAGTTTAATATGATAGAAAACAAACAAATTCGGATCATATCAGCTAATTAGCATAGGTTAGTCATCATGGTCACTGTGGCAATGAAAGTAAGTTATATTTATAATAATAGTAATAATAATAATAATAAAGGTACTGACCATAACAAAAAAATACTTAATACAAATGTCATGAAATGCAATCTTTTGGAAGAAAATTTACAGACATATATATGTGCGAGTAAACGTGTCAATAAATTATGCCCGCAGACGACATAGACACTAATGTGAAAATGAAATAAGAAGAAGAAAGAAACTGATGAAAATACTGTCAATTCTTTTCATAATACTTTTTATGAACTAATTAAATAATAATAATACTAATAAAAGTAGTAATATTGTACGTGTACGTAGTCGTGGTTTCTTAAACAATTATAAACAGCAAAAAATGTTAAGATATATATAGAGAGAGAGAGCAAAAACTACATAAGAAAAGCGATAATTGCAAGGGAGAAGAAGAAATGTAACACTGACTGACGGAGCAGTTAGTTACATTTGAAAATATTTATCTCAAAATTTAAATTACTAAATAAAAATACTAACTGCCCAACATATAGAAAAAAGAGGAAACATAACACGCAAGACTAAGTTGTCTTTATGTTTTGTTGTTACGAAAGTATTATAGAGAGATAACGTGATAACTCTTAATAATCAAGACTAGATTAGTAGAAGAGATATGATCATTGCTTTCTTTTTTTTCTTTCTTTTCATTTTAGAAAATATAGAAGACGATAACAAGGCATATCTAAGAATTAATTTCCTCTTCCTGATAAGAGTAAATCCTTTGAGTCTACTGGCTGTTTTTGTTTTACTTGCTGATTAACTTTCAAAGGTGGCTAATGCAAGAGACAATGAGATAAACAGGCACTTAATGTATTCCCTTGAAATGAGTTATTTATTACGATTCTAAGAGAATTTGTGTGTGTGTGTATATGTGTTCCTGTGTTACAGCAGCATTTTTACCAATGTTATTGCTGTTATCCAAGACTTTAGCTCATTTAAACAAATCAACAACAAGAAGAAGAAGTAACAAGATGAACTAAGACTGCGATGTATATTAGGTTCAGTAATCTTGATAAATAAAGCAGCAAGACATTGCCTTCATCGGTGAATAATTTACGAAAAGAGTACACCATATATATATATATATATATATATATATATATATATATATATATATATATATGCGTCAAGACCTGAGCAGCAACTAAAGTTATATTTATCTTCAATATGAAGTTGTCCTTTGCGAAAATTTTCTTTCAATGAGAAAAGCATAGAAAGAGAAAAGTAATAAAGGACAGAGTCGACTGAATGAAAGACATATTTGCTTTGTTTTGTATTACTTATTTCTCATAAGGGAGCAAGCGTATACACTCACACTCCCAAATAAATATACTTTGCGATTTCTAAGATTTTGTTTTTAATATTACTGAAATTCTTTCTTATTTTTTGTTGTTATTTGTATTAATTCTTGATTTTATCATTTGTTACTTTACTTGACATTATGTTTTGTTTTGTTTCTTTTCCACTTATGACAGAATTTATTTCTGAATAATGAGAAATGATTTAAATTCACTGCCAGTAGATTTGTTCCTCACTTTTAAACAATATGAATCGAATAGTTTAGTAAATAACGAGAAAAAGTTACTATATTATAATTATAAATTACTATTATTTCATAATGTCCACTGGATTGGTCTGATTGACATTCCCACTGGACACAAATGGATAACAGACTATACACAACATGATTAATGAATACGGTGAACGTGTAATCATTCATCAATAGAATAGAGTAAGGAAGACTTATTTGTCAATTTTGCTATTGCATAATATTCTGTTTATCAAAATGAAGAGAAAAAGCAGACCACGAATAAAATAAATTCGAAACAGAAACAAAATAACCAGCTAAGTAACAATAAGGACACTTTTATCTGTTTTGTTAAAAAAAGAATTTTCCCTGGATAATAAAACTGAGATACATGCGCAGCATTACGGAAGGATACTAAGTGTTGGAAGACATTGGAAGTAGAAGCAAAAAGGCAACGAAGAGAAAAACCACTGAATTCTTCATCGATCAACAATGACAGTTTATAAATGTTGAAATGGATCTATAAGAAAATGACATACGTGTGAAATTAAGGTTGTTCGTTTCATTTATGATAACTGGAACTCATTTTACTATAAGGGGATAGAGTATATATATATATATATATATATATCTTTGCAGTAAAGCAAGTAAGTAGGCACATAGGTAGGTAGGTAGGTAGTCAGATAAGTAAGTAAGTAAGTAAGTAAGTAACGAAGTGAGTAATTTGGCAGATCCACACACATATAAACCTGCATATACATATTTTAATATAGGAAAGAGATACAGGATAGTTACAAGTAGTATATTAAGATTATATGACATGTATATTTATTAAGAAATCGAAATGCTGTTACCGTTCGACTGAGTGATTGATTGACTCAACAGAGATGGAAAATAGAGGAGAGGAGGCATTGACTAGTTGATGATGTCAGTCGATCAACTGGCTAATCAATCAGCTAGCCGTCATTTGGTCAGTTAGTCAGTCAATCAGTCAGTCAGTTATTTGATTAGATGATTTTGGAGAATTGGAGAATAACAATATTCAAGTACTCATATCTGATATATCAATATTATCGAAGTCACTGAATCCTGTACAAATCAATTCCTATAAAAAGAGATCGAGAAAAAGCAAAAAGATAAGGTTAAGTAAAAGTTTAGTGCATAACAATGATGAATGGTATGCTGAATGTAATTATGGGTTTTCCTTCAAAAAAGATCAGATTTTATCCTAAAATAATAAACTTACACCACGTATTATGTAACTTGCAATTTCACCCAGGAGTGTAAGTTATATAGAGTTGGCTGTTAAAAGGATATGATTCGGTATTGAAATTTTTAACTCTGTCCACTTATTGATCATGAGGAATATGTATATGCAACAGTGGGTACATGTGAAGGTGGAACTTTGAGTCGTGTTGTAAGTATCGGTGTTTACATCATCATCAGTGTATCAGTGTAATATTTGCTCCACCTTACCTTCAATTATCCGGGATACAGATTACTGTTTGTGATTTATTCTGTGTCTGAATAAATGTTTTTCTGTAGATTCGTTACCACCTAAATTACGTAACAGAAAATCGAGAATCTTTCATCTACGTTCAAAAGACATTAGTACGACTAAGTTCGAAGGAATAACTACTCTTCCAGACTTACTATTAGCAAGGTTTCGGAATGCATCAGCAGGAAGTCGAACCTCACGCGTGGCTGATGAACATTCTATCACTAAAAGATTATTATCTTTGGATATTTTTGGTGAAATTATAATTACTGATTGAAAACCTGTTCAGTAGTGCAATGTGGGAAGAGTTCATGCAATTTACAACATAGAGAAATACATTCATTTGATGCAGGAAACTGCCTTTCAAGAAATGACTTCATTAGCATGTACACCCGATTAGTCAAAATGTAGATGAATTTTCAATCAACAGATGTGTTCTACATTTTCAACCCTTTAATAAATATTTGTTCAAAACTATTCATTCGTAGTTATAAGTTATTCATTTGCTGCTTATAATATATTTTATATCACAGACAATGAGCACAAGAATTATATGCATTCACATGAAAACTGAGAGTTTCAGGTCAAAAGTAGTTCACGTATCAAGCTTCCTTATTTTAATACCTTAATATAAGTAAAAATAAATCTATGTATGCATACTATGTTCAAAATGTTCACCTCAAATAGCTATAAGAAATAAGTTTCATGACATGTCATTAAAGTATTTGAAGGAAAATTACAGTAATATTATATGAACAGTCTGTTATACATACCTCATTTGGATAAGCGATTCCTTCCATATGCTCCGCACCACATGTACCAATGCCTGAACAAACAAATGAAAAAATTAAAACAGTATGATAAGCCGATATCAGTTAGCGGTCTAAATTAGAATTGATCAAAGCCTTGTAAACTAACAGCGGTATCAGGCTTATGCTGTGCATAAAACCAGAATCTGTTTTTTATTACAAAAAGGCGCTGAATGAAAACTCAATATCTACAGTTTCGGGATGCACTTTTAATAACTGCATGTCAAAAGTAAAAAGTTAGTCTGCACCTTTTACTGCTCCCTAAACATAACAGTTAACATAACACTACGTATGTTGAAGGGTTCAATATTTCATGTTACGCTATTCGAAAAATTTACAATTGTTAACGATGACTGTTAGAATATGGAATATTCAAATTCACTGGTGTTGCATTATTTGAGATTACTTAAGTAGTATGATGTGTATTTGTAAATTTATCCATAATGTTGTCTGTTTCACCATGTGACAGAGACAATGGACAGTAATGTTTTCTCTGGAGGAATTTCGATAATGCGAAAGATGCCCTTGGAAACTGGATAAAATAATCGTTGATTACTTGGAATTATGAAGTGTAATTACAGCTCAGAGATAGACGGAAAATGCACTGATTTGGGTTTTAAACTCTTAGGATCATTGAAAGAAGAGAAACACCTAAAAGAAACCTTAAATCTCATAGAATAAGTTCCTATCCATATAATTTAGATGTCATTTACCAAGAACCATAGCCAACAACATTTTAGGTTATCAGTACTCATTATTGTGATATCATAAATCCGTCCTTTTATTCAGTTAACCTAATGGAGTGAACCAAAATCAACTTTGCATAAACGTGTAGTACTAAAAGTTGCCACACCTCATAGAAGCACACACAAAGGTTAAGAAAAATACGAGAAGTAATTTCCAGGAAAAAAATATTTATATGGCGAATAATAAGAATTTGATGGAAATGTGAGGTCACAAAGAGTTAGTGCGTCTGTGCCATTAACAACAGTCTCTAACCATTGGTTCTTAAAGTCTCAGAAAACCCCAGCTATGCAGCATACACCTCCCTGCGTGGTATAAACTAATAGTTAAAAATCTTACGAACTGATGCCATGTTTTTATGTGACCACCTCAAACTCTCTTACAGTCTGATTCTATGTCAACTAACATTATTCAACAAGAAAGGCAATAACTTGACAAGCGTAACATGTGTCTCAACCATCTCAACTCTTTACCAAACACTGTAAGCCAAATATCATTATTACTGACGACCACCTGGCACTAAAGATAGGATGCAGACATCGACAGCATTATGGGTAAAATTTGTTTTGATAAAGTTTCACAGTAATATTTACTGATGACGTTTCTAGCACAATTTATTGCTCATAATCATACCAAGGCAGACATTGATGGTCTAGAAGTTACAAAAACTTTTTACTACCAAATGTTTATAAAACAGGGAAGCATTTAGATCAAACTAAGATCAGACCTAGATGGAACATCTTCACAGTGGCACAATAATGTTCCAGTGTTATTTCTTCTACCAGATACTTAAGACTATATGCATACATATATTTCAACATATCGAGATTATAAGAGCATCATCTTGACGTAACACTTGTAGAAGTTTAGTTATATGTAGCAAACTAAATCATTTCACGAATATTTCGCAATTTCAATTAAGCCAGTACTAATCTTCTACTCTTCTAGTTAATATTGTCCTACATTATATATAATTTCAACTTATTAACTGCACAATAATTTTCTAAAGGAATTCTTTATTTTTAACACAAGAGTATATAAAGCATTTAATTAATTGTATCTTGTTAAAAAAAATCAAGTTTCTCTATTTACTTATTTGAACAAAGCTGTAGAAGATGGTTAACCGATCTTTCCATTTGGGTTTGTTGTAAATTGATCTTTTCATTGGTGTTCAGCTTTCAGAGAAAAATGTTTCTTTTGCTACTGAAAGCAAACTTCTGACTTAATTAGTTTATATTTCTTTTGTTAAAGGCTGTATGTGCAAGCTACCACCAGAGTTGAAAGATTTTCAGTAGCCACTTTTACTTTATAACATTACAGTTGGAAAAGTCTCTTCCCTTCAGAAATATTGAAAATGAAACGCTTACTTTATAAAGAAAGTGAGTAAGATCTGGCCAGTTTCCTTAAAATTATTCAATCTACCTATTCTCTTTTAATCATAAAAGTTAAAGTTTTCCGTCTATTGATAAGTCTGTTCACCAAATAAAATCAATTTATGCTCACTAAATGAAATGGTGCAGTACGTCAGTGGTTCAGTGGTAGTATACTCGTCAACCAAGCATATTGTCTGAGTTCGACTCTCGGTTGATGCACGCCTAACCAGAGGTGATATTGGGTGTGAGGCTAGAAACTCCACCCCGCAGAAAAACAAGACCAACACTAATGAAACTGCAAAACTATAGCTTGAAGATTTATATTGCACTCAGAATGCAGAGGAATAAAAGAAGGAAAATATGAAATGATACATTTTGTAGAAAGGCCAGTTTACTGACATGGAAAATGATTTAAACTACATTTTTTATTCACTCCTTTATTTACTTTAAATTACTAGCCCTCCAATGATTCTAATCCGGCTGTGAATTGGATTTTTACTTCATCTTCAATCATCATCATCATCTTCATCGAGAACATCACTAACAGTTTGCCAAACCAAGAAAGACTATGTCGTATTGTTTCAAGTATCAACTCCTTATTCACTAACTTAGAATAATAATTTAAAAAGAGTAATTAGTTACTTTCTATAGTTTGGTTTGTAAGGATTAGTTATGTTTTACGAGTTGATCACGGATTGATACTGGAAGGTCCTGGGTTCGAATCCCAGTGGGTGCGTACTGCTGATGATTCCCAAACTAGGATGAAACAGCAGCTGTCCAGTACTCCCTGATTTTCAATGGTTCTCTAACTGATATCAATCCGTGATCAACTAGTAATTAGTTAAGCAGGAATTGAATTAACCAAGATTTATACCACACACCTTCACTATATGAAAATAACGAAAAATTGAATTAAAGAAGTGATTCTTTGAATTCTTATAAAATTTACTAGCTTGACAATCATCATAACTTATAAGATAATTTGTTTTTGGATCATGGACTCCCCAAGAGAATTCCATGATGCGGATGTAGGTATATCTAACTGATATATATATTCCAAATAACAAATAATTGCGTATCATGAATTTCATTACAATATCATTATGACAACCACTATCAAATAGAGTTGTTGTTGTTGTTTTTTACCGCAGAAAAATGCTCAAAAACTAGTTCTTTGTAAGTATATATATATATATAGTAAGGTAAAATTACTTCACAATCTTGAAAATAAAATAAAAATCTATGAGGGAATAACACACGTAGATAATAATAAGCAAATATATATGATTATTATTATCATCAACCCTTATTTACTTAGTTTTAAGAAAGTAAATTTTTCAATTCATATTGTGTGAAACAGTATGAATGACCTAAGTGACTATACTTAGACTGACTTTATATATATATATATATATATATATATATATATATATATCGATAATTTCACTGAATTACAGGATTTTGTTACTTTTCTGGAATAAAATTTAAACACTGATACGCATACGCACACATATATGCACACACACACAAAATGTGCACCTTTGCATATAGCCACGTATATATGATTATCATTATTATTTTTGTTTTAATGACCTTTGAGAATTCACTACATTTCATTTCGTTAGATTACATATTAAACAAAAAAAGTTACATTGGAAGTGGTTTATCTCTTGTACTTTTGTTATCATCAATGTCTTTTACAGTTTGTAAAGATATGATATTGTCTTTGATTATTTCTGTAATAATAATATTAATTTATCATCTATTGGCAATAACGACGCTTATATGTGTACCAGATTGCTCACTTTCCTATAAAATTTAAACACTGATCTGCCTTTATATCACCAGTTACACTTATCTTTTCTGAATAAATTGAAAAATAGAGTATAACTATGATGCTTAACACTGTAAAGGATATATTCTAATAAATGAAGGTTATGAAGGTCTTTAGTTTCATTGAAATAAAATGTCTGCAAAGTCATTTGTTATAAAAAATAACTTTCAGATTATAGGTGTTGGGATTTTCGATTAACTTCAGCTGTTAGATTTTCGTCACGAACCAGTATCAGCCAGAGAGATTACTGAAGTCAGATTTTGGATGTGTTTCTTTGGTTTGTTTGTAAGGATTAGTTTTGTTTTTACGAGTTGGTCTCGGATTGATATCAGTTAGAGAATCATTGAATACCAGGGAGTACAGGACAGCTGTTTAATCCTAGCCGATGATTCCCGAACTAGGATGAAACAACTGTCCAGTACACCCTGATTTTCAATGGTTCTCTAGCTAATATATATTTCTTCCTATTTCAGGAATATTCAACAGTGTGTATAGAGGACTTATCAGTAGTGGTACAGTTAATTTTGGAGCAAAGAATTTACGATATAGTTTAAAAACCAGATCAGGGTTGTTAATAAGAACATATCAACTGATCAAACTCGACAGAAATTCTTATGCAACAAGCGTCTATGTGGTAATCATTTGAGTTGACAAAGCCAGAATGCAGAGATAATTGGATTCTAGTCGAAGTGGCCAGATGGTCAAGAAGCTTGGTCTTGTAACCTGAATGTCCAAGGTTCAATCCATGGTGAGGCCTGGATGGGACTAAATAGCTGTCCAATGTTCCCTGTTTTTCAATAATCTGTCCTACTGGTATTGGTTTTTGAAGAAAATTTAACAATTGAAAACTGAATTTGTTCAAGGATACTGTACATTAATTTAACTCAATAAATGCACATGTATTTTTTTCAGCCTCGTCTATTGAAAAATTCTGTTGACTAAAATAAAAGTCATTTTGTTAAGGGACTTCATCATTAGCTGAGATCAGCTAAAGAAGCATTGGAAAACCTGGGAGTACTGGGCAGCTGTTTCGTCCTAGTCTGGGAGTCTTCACAGTACGCACCCA